GCGAAACATTCTTAAAATCCAATGCAATTTCTTTTTTGAAAAACGCAATCTATGTAAGACCTTAAATTGAATGAGACATAATCTTGTATTGAGTGATTGTTTATCAATATCCTCTAAACCATTCTGCCAAATCTCTTCAGAGATTCCAATCCCCATCTCTCGCTCCCATTCCTCTCTGATCAAGTTTGTAGAGGGAGAAGTAGCTGCTTGTGACTTTCCATAAATTAAAGAGAACTGATTTTTGTTTCCTCTGAACTGAATGAGACAATCATCACTGATTGAGGGCGGGACCTCATCCAGGGGGACATTATGTGTACGCAAGTAATTCCTTATCTGTAAAAATCTGAAAAAATTATTTTTTGGAAGCAACAGCTTCCTTGTTCTTTTCTTATGTTTGAAAAAGTGAGAGGCGGCCATCTTTTTATTCAAACATTCTCACCAACTGTCAAAATAAAAGTCCCTACAAAATAAAGGATCCTAAATCTAACAAAACATTCCAGTGCTCCAATAGCACAACAATTTAGATTAAACTAAACTCAAAATAGCTCCTACAACCCAGCAAACACAGAACGTTCCCCTAACGTTCCCGAATGGTCCCATGAGGTTATTTTTTGGGGAACCAAACAAGAACGTTATAGGAACGTTTCATGTAGGTTATTTTTATGTTCCATAACGTAAGGAGAATGTTCCGGGAACTTTCCCTTAACCTTCAGGGAACGTTCTGGGAAGTGGGAACCAAAAACTAACGTTCCCAGAACCTAAATTTGTTTGCTGGGGTAGAGTACGACACACAGCTCTTGTGCTCAGATCAGCTGTGTGAGAGTGTGTGTCTGATCTCCACATGTTCAGCTGGACCGTCAGCGCCGATTCCCCAACTGAGCCGACACACACTCGTGCAGGCGCTGGAATGTGTTTGAAGACTTTCAGTCCCACAAAAGCCAGTGTTACTCAGATCTAACACAACAGAACAGCAGGCAGATGCACAACACACACACACACTGTGTGTGTAAACCAGGATGAGCTGCGGACAAGAACAACAAATCCGCCTAAACTAAAGGTCAGCCGTGACAACCAGAACTAGTTTAATAATGATTGTGACTGACATCCAGTGGCTGCTGTGTGTGTGTGTGACCACGGGCATTATTGTGTGCACAATAAAAAAATGTATTTAAATAATTTTTGAAAAATGTAATAAATATTAAAATGAATTACTATTGGATACTCTGTGATGTTAATGACATTTTTCACTCAGGGTTATTATTGTTAAACCCCAACATTCCCTGTTTGATTTGGAGGAGGAGCACACGGACGCAGCTGATGTAAATCATTTATTCTAGTAAGTGCTAATCGCGTTATTGAATAGTGTCTGTAAACTGCACAAAGACTGTTTAAATCACAACTTACTCCACTAACCCAAACCCGTCCACTAATACTCTGATGAAGGACATGCTCATAGTTAGTAGAGAGATTATTGCAATTTTTAAATCTTACATCACCTCAGGCTGTACAAATCATCTCCTAATTGAATAATCGCTCACATACACACACATCTTCACACACTATCAAGAGGCATGAGCAATAATCTGACACTAGCAAGCTAATATTTACACATGCTGAACGTGTTTAATGTCACAACACTCGGAGACAGACGCCGCCCGCCTCCTAAACACACTCATGAGGAGCTGGAGTATTTACACACACACACACACACACACACACACTCGAGAGACGTTAGTCTTGTAGTCTGTCTTCGGATCCTCCCACTGTCAGCATGCAGAGACAAACACACTCTTGTCAAGTTTCTGTCTTTGAGTGAGAGATAAGAAAAAGCCTTGTGTTCACTCTGAGGAAGACAACAGTGCCAGCCTCCCCGTCACGCTCACGCTAGCTCTAACACACACACACACACACACACACACACACACTCAGTGCGTCTGATGTTTGGTCCAAAGCATTATCTACAGCTGTTTCCTTCAGCCTCCATCTCAGACACACACGATTCATCTCAGCCTCTCGATAGTATCAGCTTACAGGAGTGTAACCCAACCCAGTGTGTGTGTGTGTGTGTGTGGGACAACCTTATCAGCCGCAGGCCGAGGAACAGACCCACAGAAACACAGGCAGGGCTTCACTGCTCAGCGCTGAATTCACCAGGAAAGAATGTGCAGCTGAGACTGTGTGTGTGTGTGTGTGTGTGTGTGTGTGTCCGTTACACTAACAACATGTGAACAGTCTTGTGTGAGACTCAAGTTAATGTTGATGTTCAGTGTTAAAACAGTCTCTCCATCTTCCGCTGATATCAGTCCGACTCTCTGTAAACACAGCACACGACGCGAGTCTGAACTGTTGATTTCACCGAAAGACTCTTAATATTCAGTGATATGATGATTTACTGCACTGACACCTGAACTATTGATCTGAATAATGACGATATCAGGAAACGCTTCATTTTAGTGTGTGTTACACATACGACACGTACTGCAGTGATAACAGTAATTACATGCAACTAACTCAAAATACTGATATTGTTCAGTATAATTACACTGTAAGATTATTATTATTATAAGATAATTACACTGCATTAGTGTCTCCTGTGGATCTGCTTCAGATGTAATTGATTTTGTTTCATAGTTGATGATTTCATAACATTATTTTTGTTTATTCTGCTAGTAAAGTGCTTTAGAAATAAATCTGACTTGACTTGATTAGTGCACTGTTCATGCTATTAAAGTTGATGCTATATAATGTTATAGTTTTAGTCGTTTAAAGAGGTTAATCAAAGTTTTTGAGCTATGAATATAACAGATATGTAACAATGATGAGTGTTGCACGTCAGACAGGCCAAAATCAGCCTTTTACAGCACACACACACACACACACACACACACACACACAGTTCCGGTTAGATAACAGTGGAGCAGACGCGCGTGTGATCGTGACTTCACACATTCCCGAGACTCGTCCGGCGGACAGCAGACGTCTCCTGACCGTACTACAGGATAATAAATAACATATCCTAATATATAATCCTGTGTGTCTGTGGAATTACTGTAATCTCAAGAAGTGTGTGTGGAAGAGGAGCTGATGATCAGACTCGGTTGCAGTGTGTGTACAGTGTGTGACGCTTATTGCTGTAGCAACCAAGAATCATTTTGCTCCATTTATCATTTATTAACTCACAAATACAACAACACACAGATAAACCCTGCGCTCTCTGACCTGTCAATCACGGGTCGTAATGAGCCTTGAGAGGGTAATTTGCTTAGATTAATAGCAATTAGATTTACGATAATGAGATCTTATGAGTGTAAAGAGATGTTGTTTTAAAGGTCTCCTACAAGGTCATCCAAGGTCAAACACACACTAATATTCAGCTCTTTCCTCTCAGTGTCTGAAACGCTTCCATCGAGGATTCAGTCTCTCTAAGCCCCGCCTCTCTGAGAGCTGCTCTGCTGTGATTGGTCAGAGAGCAAATGCTCATTATCATATCGGTCTCTCAGCTCTTGATCACAGTGATACGAACAGTGACGATGGCGTGTGTTTTACCGTATCGATCTCGGAAAACAACACGAGCCGAACTCTTCCAGTCTCAGAGACACTACAGTGTTAGAGGGCGGAGCTAAGAGACGCTGCTCAGCCAATCAGGACCACAGGCTGGCATTATGCAAATGAGGCACAAACCTACAGCAGGAAGTGCGACTGAATTACCGACGACTCGTTTCAGTTCAGAATCAGGAGACAAAAACTCAATTTATCTGCACTTTGATCTGTGAAACTTTGCAGAGCTTTTACATTCACTAACAGACTTATTACACATACATGACAGGTCATATACAAACACCATAATGGGGAACTAATCCTGAAGGGATTCTACTAAAGCAGATACAGTGTGTGTTAGGCACTCGTACAGAAAAACTTATGATAAAGTGTCATTAATTGAGTTTCTGTTCACTAGATGTGATATTCTCTAAGCTTTACAAACTTTACAATCAGCTTAGGTGAAACTGTTTAACTGCATATAAAAACACACTAAAACACACACACACACACACGCACACACACAGACACACACACACACTCCAAACAGAAATAACAATCCAGTGAGATGAGAGAAGTGATGATCCTGCCAAAGTTATCTGCAGCTCTGGCTTTAATAAGACACATATGAGTCTGCACACACACACACACACACACACACACACGCGATCAGCTAACACTAAACACACTTGCTAAACACGTGAAGCGTGTGGAAACTCTAAACATAATTTCCTCATGATCCACTCCTCGTACTTCTCATCATTCGTACACAGCAATGCTGTTTTCCTCTTTAAACAAACACGCACATCCCTCCCTCCAGCTCTGAGTGACCTCTGACCCCTGGACACGTCCACACACACACACACACACACACACACTGAAGAGAAGAGCCTGCTGGGAAAGAGCAGAGAACTGACAGGAGGAAGGAGGATCTGAGAGAGGTGTGTGTGTGTGTGTGTGTGTGTGTGTGTGTGTGTGTGTGTGTGTGTGTGTGCACATCAGCTCTGATCCAACAATAATTTTTATCTCCTGCATTGACAGTATCATACAAGAACTGAACTGAGCTGGACGATGACATCACGGTTTTCTCCAGAGTGGCTATACACACACACACACACACACATATATATATATATATATATTTATACATAAATTAATAACTTTACAACGACAATGAAGCATCCGTGAACTGCCTTAATCTGGCCTGAGACGCTATTCTCTTCTGGAAACACTGTTGCATTATTTTCCTGTTATCTCTGTAAAGATGCTCTGAAACACTGTGTTGTAACAGCGCTATATGAATAAAGCTGACTTGACTGTGTGTGTGTGTGTGTGTGTGTGTGTGTGTGACAGAGAGAGTCAGAGCAAGACAGGAAGTCTCAGATGGAAACACCCTTCCTTCCTGCCAGAGCAGGGATCATAGGCAGACACACACACACACGCTTACCCTTACACATACACACCTGCACAGGCGCTTCAGTGGTGTTGGGTTCGAGTCCGGGTTCCCCAACTCTACGCCTCAGTGCTGCAGAGAAGGTTCTTCATGAGAGTTTGAGCTTGCAGTAAAAATGCCTTTTGTCTCTTTAGGCTTACGCAATTCTCCACAATGTTGCAAGAAAGCTGCACATCCCCGTCCACGAGAAACAGGACAGTCGGAGGGAGAACGGGAACAGGAAGTGGAGGAAGAGTCCAACGATGACTACTTCCTGTCTGAAGACCCGAAACATGTCGATCAAAATCAACACTGTTTGTACATTAATAGGAGCACCGAGATATTTGTATTACATGTTATGGTTCCCCAGTGTGTCGTTTACTTCATCAGAACCCACACACACACACACACACACTTACAGTCACAACAATGATCCTTCTGTCATCCTTCACACACTCCACTGCTGTTCAGAGTTCCTGCTGCGAACCACAAGACTGGATCTGTTGATCATTACAAGTCAATTGTGACCAAAACAGGTGTGTGAGACAGAGAAAGAGAGAGTGTGTGTGTGAGAGAGAGTGTGTGTGTGTTCATGTTTATATTACATTGTGTGCCCATAAGTACAGTAAAACATGAAAATCACCTATATTGTGGGATCCAGCCAGCGGTCCCCATGAGGAAAACAGCGTATAAATCAGACTAAGTAATGTTTCCTGTGAGGGGTCGGGTTAGGGATGGGGACAGAATATACAGTTAGGTGTTTCATTGGCATCGATAGTGCCTTGAAGAACCTTTAACCTCCACTGAGTTACTTAAAAACATACAGCATGCGATCCGTTCTATGATTGTTAGAGCAGACTCAGATATGAGGTCATTGAGTGTTTCTGCTAGAGATTGAACTGACAGTAAACATGTTATTATATGCCGTTTCTGACATGTTTACACTTGGTTTTCTCATACAACAGCGAGAGTAACATCAGCATACTGTTTGTGTTTTAGTGTGTTCAGAGAATCATAGAAGGAAGATTCATCTGCACCCTCGTGGCCTCGAGGCCTTCATACAAAGACAATCTCAACAGTTCTCGAGTGTTAAAGGTTCCTCTTTAAGAAGAAACAGGGCTAAATAAAGCTTCAGCCACAGCCTCTCTCTTAACACTGAGTTTAACCTCTTTCCTGTGTCTGAAGAACAGGAACACACAGAGAATAATCACAGAAACCACCAACAAGAGGAGCAGACCCCGACCACTGCCTACAGGACCTCACAGAAACCACCAACAGGAGCAGACCCCAATCACTGCCTACAGGACCTCACAGAAACCACCAACAGGAGCAGACCCCAATCACTGCCTACAGGACCTCACAGAAACCACCAACAGGAGGAGCAGACCCCGACCACTGCCTACAGGACCTCACAGAAACCACCAACAGGAGGAGCAGACCCCGACCACTGCCTACAGGACCTCACAGAAACCACACACAGGAGGAGCAGACCCCGGCCACTGCCTACAGGACCTCACAGAAACCACCCACAGGAGGAGCAGACCCCGATCACTGCCTACAGGACCTCACAGAAACCACCCACAGGAGGAGCAGACCCCAATCACTGCCTACGGGACCTCACAGAAACCACTCACAGGAGGAGCAGACCCCGACCACTGCCTACAGGACCTCATAGAAACCACTCACAGGAGGAGCAGACCCCGACCACTGCCTACGGGACCTCACAGAAACCACACACATGAGGAGCAGACCCCGACCACTGCCTACAGGACCTCATAGAAACCACTCACAGGAGGAGCAGACCCCGACCACTGCCTACGGGACCTCACAGAAACCACACACATGAGGAGCAGACCCCGGCCACTGCCTACAGGACCTCACAGAAACCACCAACAGGAGGAGCAGACCCCGACCACTGCCTACGGGACCTCACAGAAACCACACACATGAGGAGCAGACCCCGACCACTGCCTACAGGACCTCATAGAAACCACTCACAGGAGGAGCAGACCCCGACCACTGCCTACGGGACCTCACAGAAACCACACACATGAGGAGCAGACCCCGGCCACTGCCTACAGGACCTCACAGAAACCACCAACAGGAGGAGCAGACCCCGACCACTGCCTACGGGACCTCACAGAAACCACACACATGAGGAGCAGACCCGGCCACTGCCTACAGGACCTCACAGAAACCACCAACAGGAGGAGCAGACCCCGACCACTGCCTACAGGACCTCACAGAAACCACCCACAGGAGGAGCAGACCCCAATCACTGCCTACAGGACCTCACAGAAACCACCCACAGGAGGAGCAGACCCCGACCACTGCCTACAGGACCTCACAGAAACCACCAACAGGAGGAGCAGACCCCAATCACTGCCTACAGGACCTCACAGAAACCACTCACACACGCAGACTTAAAGAAAAGCAGAGAGCGTTCTGGATGTGAACTTTGACAGAGCTTTACAAAAGAGCGGTTGCGTAAACACTAGTTTCTCAAGAGTAGAGAAAGTGAAGAAACGCAACAGGAAAGAGGGAAGCGGCTGTAATCTTTCATCTCCGTTCACTGCAGATAAACTGAAACGAGGACTCGCTTTACTGAAATACTTCCTCATTCACAGAAACCTGCTCAGCAAAAGATCCGCCACCAAAATTAACCAAACAAGCAGCTGCCAATCATGAGTGTGTGTGTGTGTGTGTGAAATCAATGGTGTGTTCAGGCAAGCACATGTGTGTGTGGATCCAGGGCATGTCACGACATGTCAGACTGGGTCTGTCAGTTCACCGTGTCACATGACCTCCGATCGCCATGTCACATGACCTCCGGCCCTGTCAGTGCCCTGGGGCAAACAATGACTGACAAGAGAAATGCCAGCAATGCAATCGTTTACAAAAACTCCTGCATATCTTCATGACACACTAAAATGAGCTCTTCTATATCTTAAAAAACACAAAACACAATAAATCTCCTTAATGATCAATACATCTGTCACCGCACATATTTCTCGTTGGTAACGTTGACATGAATGCAACTGTTGATTGAGTTAATGTCAGCTCAGGTCCGTTACTAAATAACATGAACAGATTTATCCTTTGATTTTTAATAATGTAGCCTATTAATGAAAGTTAAAATGAATATTAATGCTTCTTTATCATTGTAGTTTACAAATGTGAACCTGAGTGAAAAGTGTTGCAGATTCCAACAATCTGAGACGAGTGAAATGACTCAATATTATCAGCAACTGAAGATTTGAAGTAAATGTAACATTCAGAATATCAATATTTTTTAAAGTTTCTAATCAAAGGAAACCAAAAGTAAAAGTTCACATGGTCAGTGCATTAGTGAACTATAAACCAATGACTATATTAAATGTTAATGTATGATAAATGCCATTTATCATAAAATATTTTGGGAACACTTCAGAATAAAGTATTCTTAAACATTAGATATAGATATGCTCATATAGCTCAGTCAGGTCCATTAAATAATATTAACAACTATTGATTTTAATTATGTATAAGTAAATACTGATTAATAAATGATTAATAATAATAATTAAAGATTAATAAATGCTTTAGAAGTATTTTTCATTGGCAGTTCATGTTATTGAATGCTAACAAACAGAACCTTGTTGTGAAGTGCGACCAGTATTTTTTTATTTATTTTATGGCACAATATTTCCATAAATCTGTTACTTCGGCACTACACCGCAATCATAAACACCTGACGACCCAGAGAAGAACAGCTGGAAGTTATTCCGTGTGTGTGTGTGTGTGTGTGTGTGTGTGTGTGTGTGAGCAGATTGTCCATCTGAACGCCAGAGAGGAGCCGCACCCTCTGAAACAGAAACACACTGAACTCGCTTCACTTTCGTGTTTCGCCACAGAGGAAAGACTTCAGCTTCTCTCCGATTCACAAATTAATTCTATAATAATTTCCAAGCCTGCAGCTGTGGACGGGTTCAATAAACATCGAGCAGAACTAAACTCCCAGCCTTCACTGCGGGAAGGTTAAAGCACACAGATGAAGCGAGAGGACGGCAGTGTGTGTGTGTGTGTGTGTGTGTGTGTGTGGACAGGCCTTCGCCTGAGAGCGCGTTACTGCAGTGGACAAGCCCGGGCGGATCGGCAGCAGGAATGAGAACAATGACTGGAATCCCAGGGTTTTCCCAGATCTGAGCCTGCGGGCATGAGAGAAGTCTCGCGAGACTCAGACTCGCACACACACACACCTCAGCGATTAATTATTCAAACACAGTTGGCCTTCATGTCTGGGTGAAACAAAAACTGAAGTATAACAATTAGAAACAGGTTTAGATTACTGATGCAAGAGGAAATGTGTCATGTGACAGAGATGCAACTTCTGTCACAAACAACCAGGCAATATTAAAGGAGTAGTTCACTTTTCACCATGTCTTTCTTTCTTCAGTCGAAAAGAAATTTAAGGTTTTTGATGAAAACATTCCAGTATTTTCTCCATATAATGGATTTCAATGGGGTCCAAACGGTTCATGATCCAAAAGACACTTTCAGTGCAAACTGTTCAAACGGCTTTAAACGATTCCAGACGATGAATAAGGGTCTTATCAAGCGATCGCTCATTTTATAAATAAATAACCAAGTTTAAGTTTTATAAGCTCAAATGGTCGCCTTGCTCTGTTCTGTGACGCACGTTCGTGACTCTCCCCAGATAGCACAAGTCAATTTGATGTGATGTTTACATCTGGAAGACGTATTTTTAAGAGTGTTTGCTCATCTGCAATACGTCTATAGGACGTTTCCTGTCAGATGTCAAATAGATGTTTAGAAGATGACAGTTTAACATGCATTCTAAATCATTACATCTTATAGACATCTTCTAAACGTCTATTTGACATCTGACAGGAAACGTCCTATAGACGTATTGCAGATGAGCAAACACTCTTAAAAATATGTCTTCCAGATGTAAATATCACATCAAATTGACTCGCGCTATCTGGGTCCTGTTCGAACTCATTTATCAAAATGAATGTATCTTTTTCCGAGTCATTTGGTTCATTCAACGAACGAAACTAACAAATTGATTCAGAAAAAGATTCGTTCATTTTGATGAACGAGTTCAAACAGGAGAGTCACAAACGTGCGTCATAGAACAGAGCAAGCCGAGCATTTGAGCTAATAAAACTTAAACTTTGTTATTTATTTATTAATTGAGCGATCGTTTCGCTTGATAAGACCCTTA